TAGAGCAGAGAATTCTTAGTAAGTTTAGAAAAACTGAGTGAAAAGCTTATATGTAACAGGAAAGAAGTATTTCTGTAAAGCTAAGACATAAGCATGCTGTAAGTCTAAATATTAGTGGATTATTGAAACTACTGTACATATATATTCAGGACATAGATTCACCTGGTCTATGGATATGGAGTACATCTTGAGGTGCTTCCTGAAGGAGTCATAACAAATCAAAAGCAAAGAGTTTAATGCATTTAAGAACTGTGCCAATTTACTTGTATGAAAAATCCTTGTATTGGTATCTTGTATGAAAAATCCTTGTATTGGTATCAACTCTGACATTTTGTGGGTTTTTTTTTGCTGGGGTAGTGCTGAAGCAGGAGATCTTTTGAGGCCCTTCAAAAATGACTTATTGCTAAATAACTTGTCACTTTTATCTCTTAACCAGCAATTTGCATATACTGAAACTTCAATTTTCCTCCCTTAAACAGCTCAAAACGAATCTAACCTCTAGTTCCATAAAACCACCTGTGTGTAATGAACCCAGGGGATGAGCTGTGTACACAATTTGGCATCGTGTGAAGAAACAGAGATTCCAAAAACACACAATGCATCCCCAGGACATATCTTCTAATAAAGCCAAACAAAACAGGAAGGGAGGGAAAGGAACCATCATTGTGTAGATCCATAAAGCACCAACCATGACTACACCATGCAGATTCCTTCTCCAAATCTCAGTGATTGCAGTTCCCACAGCTCTGAGTTTCTGTTAGCATCACAGTGTGACCTAGAATGCTCAGGGCCATACCCAGATGTCCAAGATAGGGCAATGAAAAAGTTTTCCAAAATCTCAGTGTAAATGGGCTGGAGTCTCTAAAACTTATAACTTCCTGCAGGAGCTCTTAAGCAACTTAAAACTAAGTGAAACTTAATAGAAACCTTATATCAAACTGTTAGATGATTTTGTAGTCCTAAAAGTAGGAAGGGAAACAAATCGGTTTGTTCCAGATGTTCCTTATAGGTGAAATTCAGTGGTTTTGCTCCCTCTGCACTACCAGACACAAAGCAATGGGGGCAGGGGGTTATGCCTTGCTGGAGGGATGAAATCCACCTACAGGTGCTAACCTGCCCCAGCCTTCTCCACCTTGACACCCTGCTGGCATTCATTTGATTATAAGACTCATTGCTTTCAGAAACTTCTAGGAACTTACATATTTTAATGTACTGTGAGTAATAATATCTCCAGCCAGGAAAGGCCAGGAGCAGTAAGTCAGAAAAAAAAAAAAGCTGGCAGGACTGCTGGGACTGAAACACCATAGGCTTTCTAGGGAACTTCCTCCAAAGACATCTAGAGAAAGGACTAGGTGTTCCCACAAAAAAACTGTAGTTTTCTGGGGCTGATCAATCATTAGAGGTAACTTGCTTCTTGTAGAACTCACAGCTGGGTAGACAGACTGATTTGTCAGCTTTACTTCCTCTTGAACGTTATTATTTTGGGATTTTGTGAACAGTTTTCCCGCATTTTGCCTCTAAGGATGATACTTCATCCCAGTGTTTGGCTATGCAAAGTGCATGTTTTTCTCATGGTGTTTTTGTAGCTATGGCTAAGGCCTGAAATACATAAGCATCTGTAATGAGGCTCCCATAGTGTGAACAGAGATTTTTAGAACTGCTGCACCCCCAGTAGCTCCTGCTGAGGTCAGTAACCCCTTAGGTAGGTGCACACATGGGAAATTAGGCAGCCACTGCAAGAAATGTCTTGATCTGTCACTTTATTCAAACTGTTTTTAATGCTGGTGGGAGAAGTGCTCAGTTCTGCAGTGATGACTCTGGGTTTTGTGTCCAATGACAGGACACTCTCTGCAGCCAGACTTCCCAGGCATTAAGTGCTTTTTGGCATCAGGATTCCCAGCAGTACTTCTAGTCTTTCTTGCACATTAATGTGATTTCTTACTATGACTTGGTTCTCTGGAGAACTCAGCTGGCAGACTATTTCCTATGAAACATGATGCTGATGTTCTTTGGGTTTGGATGAGCTGTGATATTTCACCTCCTGTGGAAGCACAGTTCCTCTGGCTATCCTTATCCTCAGCACACATGTTCTGAGCTGCTGGGTGATAAAACACATGTTTTCAACGCTTCCTTGGCTGCTCCCTGCTGTGAAATCAGCTATAGTTTTGAAGCATTAATCATATCTGAGCTCTTTCGTTCACATTCTGATGGGAGCATCCCCGCTATAAGGGGATTTCTGCCTCTCAAATGGTCTGCGATCTTTGGCATTTGTTTTCAAGTAAAATGAGCAGCTGGAATGGAGGGAAATTATGCATTTGCAGCACAGTTTATTTCTTACCCCGGGTTTGAACAGTGCTTCAGCTCAGCCAGAATTTTCCAAGATGAAAATGGACGGATTTCCAGGCAGTATAAACTGACATAACTCATTCAGGAGATTTACATCCTCGCAGCAGCTCATTGTTTCTTCACTAAGTGCTTTCTTCCTTTCAGCACACATTCTTTTCTTTCACAAACCACCATCTTATTATTGATGAATTTTCCTTAACACTGCTTTTACTGATGTCAATCACATCATCATTCAAACACTGACATTTCTTGCACTTAGGTACATACCATCGAATTTTGTACTAACAGAAACATTGCACTGGAATTTAAAACACAAGGAAAATCAAGAAGTTGAAGACTGAAGACAATAATGTGATAGTCTTGGCTGGCTGGTTGAGGTAGCTCTAGGTAAGTTTTCTCCTTTTTAGTGCTGTGAATCTGAGTGTTGCTGCTGTTGGAAAGGTCTTTAATCACAGCATTACTAAACCTGACTTGGGAAGTCCCTGACCATTTTGCCTGTCAGGGACTGAGAGAGAATATCCAGGAGAAGACCCTGGTACATTTGTGCTATTGTTATATTTATCCCATGGCTTCTGCTGCACACCACCATTGCAGTCCCAATACCAGTTCTGTCCTCCAGCCTTGCAATTTATACTCAGCTAAGTTTTATTTCCCACTGATGCTCTCCACAGCTGGACACTGATGAGTATAAGAAATATTTTTGACATGTACTTGCTTAAAGAACTCTGATTATTTGATGTAAAAAGAGCTCCAATTAGTCTTGTTACATCTCAGTTGGGAAATTCTGGTAGAAGGAAGAGGGAGCTATTAAATATTGACTAGTTAATCTGCTGTCCTCAGGACCACTTTGTCCTCAAGGCTACTGTCACAATCTTCTCTTGAGCACATTTTGGAAGATTCGTTTTCCTAAATCAATGACACTTCCACTGACATTTTTTTTGGTGTTTGTGGTTTTATTATTATTTTATTTTTATTTTTTTATTGGAATAATGTACAATTTTATAATATTATATAAATAAAGGAAATTTATTTTAGATTTAAGTGTCATTTGGAACTGGGACCTCAAGAAATTCAGATGTGGGATGGGTCTAAACAGCTACTGATTCTTTGCTCATAGCAGCCTCCTGGACCTACCTTAGATTAAACTGTTTTCTGAGGAAGCAGAAAACTGCTGTTATATAGTTCTACTATTTGAGAAGGATTACTACCACTATATCAGTCCTGGATGTTTGTTTGTTCTTTCATTAAAAATGATGCACCTTTCCCCATAAAACAGTTTTGGAGGTGACCTGAGTTTCTGTTGAAGGTCTCTCTGAAAGGACTGCACACTAGTTAAAATTGGTATAAAATATCTTAGCTTAATTTTATCAGAGCCCCTGGAAACCATATTGGCTTTGTTTCTACTCACTAAAAGTATAAATCTCTAACTTTATTATCAGATGAGTGGGCTATGGCCCATCTTTTGTGCCTTTATTCAGAAGCTCTTGAAGGTTGTAAAAATGCAGCATACACTGTCCTGAGTATTGGCTTAGCCATAGGATTAGCTCTAATTTAGAGAAGAAAATAGTGCAATTACCATGTGTATTGACAGCTGGGAAAGAACACTTCAGTGCAGCTGACTTCAACAGAGGTATTGAATTTATGTTGGCAACAAAGGCTCACCTGAACCTATAGTTAAGCTTAAGTATTTGAATTTTTATGTGACTGTAATTTCTGATTCTAATGGGAAAGCATTCTGGAACTTCAAAAGTAAAAGTAAAAAAGTTTAATAGGGTTTTGGACCTCCTAGCATAAAGAAGTTAAGGACTTTCCATTTAAAAAACCAGCCCTCTTCCTGAGAGATTAAAGCCCAGAGGTGCACATCATAGAACTTGTAAATATATGAACATGTAAATATATGAAATTGTTACACCATACTAACAGTAAGCCTTGATTTCAGTTTTTAAAACACCTTTTTGTCTTTGAAATTACCTTTGGATAATTTATTTTTACGTTTTGTCATTTCAGTTATGAAATAAGGTTTCTATATTGTCTAAATGACTCACACGTCTTGAAATACTTAAAAAGTCCCAGAAGTTCCTCTGAAAGAAAATATAAGAATGGATCCTGTTTTCTTACCAGAATGAGCAGAATCTCATGTTTTAAATTCAGAACTGGCTTCTAATTGATCACCCATGTATTTTGTCAGAGAGAATACAATGGGTGAAGTTGTCAAAGAAAGGAGTACATTCTTGATAATGCTTAGAGTTTCAACCTGAGCCACTCAATTGCATGGCAACAAGATCATCTGCTGTGACTCAAAATGTGCAGAGAAGTACCAATAAGGAAAAAATTCCAATGAAGGACAAAAAGGAGAGTTTATAGGCAAATCAGCAACTCCCAGCACGCTCAGAGATGTCCCCTAGGAGGTTCACAGTGCTTCCTCCAATGCACATCTTAAAAGCCACTGCCTGTGTTGGGAGGGCAGCAGATGACAGCGATGTACACACATGTGAGTTAGTCCACCTCTGCTCAGGTAAGCACTTAAGCTGATACTTAATGTGCTCCAGGAAATTACAATATGTAAATATCTGCAACTTCTACTTAATTCAAAAGCAATATAATTAATTTATATAGAGTCATGCACATATAAAAATGTAAAGATGAAAACCCACCATATTCTGGGACCTGGCCTGTTCCACGTTTCAACAACAGTCGCACTCTCCTGCCACCAGACTTGATTAGCTCTATTGCTCTGGCATGTGTCATGTCCCTTGTGCTTTCTCCATTGATTTCAATTATTTGATCTCCTACCTGTCAGATAAGAAGAACATTGAGTCAGACAGAATTGCAGTAAAATGAGTGTTTCAGGAAGAGACATATTCAATGGATCACAGGTTACTTGAATGACAGACAGACACATCAAGGTAAATTTGTTCTTGTCTATCTGAGGAATATTACTGGCAGATCAAATAACCTCCAAAGTGGATTCTGAATATGGTGTATCAAATGCTGCTTGTCTTCTGCTGAAACCAGTGTAGTGCCTTTGTAACTGGCTCACATCTTCTGCATGTAAGAGGCTTTGTTGAATTGCTTGATGTGGTGGAATCACTGGAACATTATCTGTGCTACTCTGTAACATGCAGTATTGTGTGAGCCTGAGAAGAACTTTGTTGCATTCACAGTTTTCGTAGAGAAAAAAAAAAGGTTCAAAGCACAAATATAAACTTCCACCATTTGAATTTCCAAACCTTGGTAGTAAAGTTTCACAACAAATTAAGAGTTGTTATGAAGCATGCTATTAAACAAAGAAAGGTCAGTGCTATGACACAGGACAAGCAGCATTGCTGGAGTTCAAAGAGCATGCTTTGAACCATTTGCCACAGGAGCTTTCTGCTGGGAGTAAGCACAGCCTGTGGCTGAACTGTCTAGTTAGAGCAGCTGACTCCAGGGTTATGATTATGGATTTCTGCCACTCATCTCCTGGCCAGCTTTCCAGTCTTCAGGCTTCATTATTATTTTTCAGCTCTCTTTCTACAGCAGTTAAACACGGCACTGATGTCTGCACAGCCCGTTCACCCCAATTTCCCCGACTCTGCCTCCAGCCTGCCTGTTTTGATTTTGGCTGGCTTTCCATGCTGGAAACCTTCTCCTTCAGTAAGGGAGTGGGAGCTCTCTGCCCACATGCAGAGACCAGCACTGTCCAGCCTCCTGGGATCTCCCTGGTGAGAGCCTTGGGCAAGAAACACAGCGAGGTGACACATGAGCCTCGTGTTAGCAGCACCACAGCCTTTGGAATTCTGTCCTGCAGAAGCCTCCCAGCCCCCTTGGAAGGGCAGCCTTAGCAAAACCCAGAAGAAGGGATGATCTCCTGGTGCTGGTAGAGGAGCAGGTCCAGGGGATGGGCAGCCAGGAGTAGGGCAGGAGGGTGTCAGTCGAGTGGGTCAGCACACTCATTTGTCAGTGCCAGAGGAACACATCCACTCAGCAGCATCTTGCCTGCCTCAAGGTGCACCCACAGCTTCCTCACAGTGTTTTCACTACACTAAAACAACAATGCCTACACATCCTAGAGAGGAGATAATACAGACTTCAAGATGATGTGCACTTTCTTTCCCTCCTACAAGACTGTCTTAACAAAACCAGCTCTTAGCTGGCCTTGGACATTGAAGTATCTTCTATTTTGTAAGGTTTTTTTTGCTACAATTGTGCTTCTGTCAGCTAAAAGTGTAATCCTTCAGAGGCTTTCCTTCTTTCCTGAGTTTGAAATATAGTATTTACCAAATAAATGTGCACAATGTGAAATGTCAACACAACTCCTAGCATCAATGAAAACTGGAAAGGATGTCAAGAAGTCATCTAGTCCTTACTTTTACTCAGAGACAGAAAGAATGCTAGCAGAAGTACTATGGCAGTGTTTCTCAATAGGAATTCGTAGAATTCATGCTTTCTCAATAGGAGCTGCATCCTCCCAGGATCCTGTATGCAATCTATGCTGCTACTTTGTGTAACTAAAAAAACAATGATCCAAAAAGAACCAATTAGCCTTGCTACTACACTTTGAAAATGCTGCAGAATTAACAGTGGGGGGAAAATTCAGAATTATCTTGTGCAGGATTATTTTTGCAGTGCAAATTTCTTCCTCAACCAATTTTCTCTCCTATAAAGAATGCATTTGGTTGTACCATGCAGTGCAAAATTTAAAATATTTCTGATGGCCTTCAGGCCACACTGACACACAACACAGGTGCTCTCAGGCTCATGCTGAGATCTCCCCCAGGTCTGGCCATACTGGGCTCTCTGCATCCCCCTGACTTTTGGAGAATACAGCTGATGTACACACTTGGAGCAAAAAGAGAAAATCTGTGTTACCACTCCTGTAACACACAGAAGACAGATTTGTAGCATCCCCACAAGGACATTAGGCCAAATATAGAAAAAATTCAATGAGTCTGGGAAAACCTTTTTCTAAATGTTATGAAACAATTAAACCCCACAGAAATCCTGTAAAAGTAAAGTCAGATTTTCAGAAGGCTTAAGGACAGCTCTTTTTCTTTTGTGCTACATTGCTTGGGTAGACCATATTTTGCAGAAGGTATTTAAAATGTTCTTGTTAGCATATCTTGAGAGAAGTGCCAGATTAGATCAAATGAAAGAGGTGTTTTTAACACTCCTTGATGAATAGCTTTTAAAATTAGTACTGCAAGCTGCATAGAGAATGTACAGTCCTTCAAAGAAAATCCTCTGCACTCCAGAGCAGAAGGACAGAAATATTTTAATACAGTTTAATATGTAAAAAGGTTAAGTTAATGTCACATTTTTTCCTTGCTGTTTGCCTTCCTTCTGTTTTTACTGGTCACTATGCAGGAACTATCTTGTATTAATGTAACCTTTTCTTATTTCTCTGAATTCAAAATTTTTTTTTCTCTGTAGGCAGCATGTAGCTCATTTGGTATTTTCTTTCATTATAAAATATTGTAGTTGATTTGATATTTCCTTTTCTTATAAAATGTTCTGTGCAAATAACTTGAGAAAGCTTAAAAAAAAATAAAAGCCAGCATCTTGGTTATGTGACTGAAGGAGGGGAGAGAAACAAGTTGGCAAAAATTAGGTGCTCTGAAATCTACATCAGAAAGGGTGGGACCAGAGGTATAATGAATAGTTGCAGGAGCAGTGGGTTAATTGTGTTCCTTGCTTTTGTGTCCTGTGGCTGACTGATGTACAGCTGAATTATACTGCCTTTGCAGCACAAGCCTAGCTCTGATTAGATGAGAAAACATCAAGGAAAAGTTGTCAACACTCTTACTTCGAGAATAGCTTCAATTAGACTTTACACTCATATCTGGAAATTCATACAAAAGAGAAAACCTTGTCTGAGGAGTGGCTCCCCATGTATCAGTAAGGTACAGATCTTGTTTTCTTCCTGCAGTTGATAACCTTCCCTTCTTTTCTCTCTATGATGTAGATTTTCTTATGGCTGATATGGGAGGAAACCCTGCTGTATGTTTTCTCTTTGTCCAGGCATTCAAATATGATTTCTCCCTCAACTTTTCTATTATGGAATCAATTTTTAGATTTGTGGAGCTATTTCTGTCTTTTCTAAATCTAGTGATTTTTTTAAGAGGATCTTAGATATACCCACATATTGAAGATACACCAAGGTGAGGCCAGAGGTAATTGCAAGCATAAAATCAATGTCTGTTACATGGGATCTTCATTTCTCTTTTTAGGATCAAAAGTTGATTCCTGCAGTTTATATAACACAGCATTTCTCTACATTTCTCTTCTGGATGCTTCCATGTCTGCTCACAGTGTCCAATCTGGAGATATTATGAAGGTGGGGGGTAGGTAGAAGAGATCAAAATGATAACATTCTTTCTACATTTACTAATAATGTTCACAGAATGAATTTTTTGTCTTTTTGTAACACATCAGATTTGCAACCCATGGTCAGTTTGGATTCTAAGCAGTTATCTCACATTTTACATTGTGCATTTGATTTCTCTGCCTTAAACTGAGCACTGTGCACCTCAGTGAATTTTATCAGATTGACTGCTTTAGTCCAAAATCTTTATTTTAAAAGTCTGTTTCTCAAAGTCTTTTTAAACTCCCTAAGAATAGTGACATATTGGTATCAGCAAATTTTATTTTACTATTTATCAGTAGGTCTCCATTTATTAATGGAATATTGAACTGAGTTGGTTTCATCCCAGATGCCTCAGAACCACACTTTTAATTACTACTAAGGAGCAAATCATTCAGAGCAGCCTTTGAGAGGAATTATTGTCAGTAACTACATTAAAAGAGATTCCACCTAGAGCCTTTTTCCTGAACCTTTTATGTGAATTTCATAGAAAGTAGTGTTGAAAGATGAAAGGAAGACTGTACATTCTCCTCCCCCTTTTTCCACACAGAAATAAGAATGACATAAGAAAGGATAATTAAACTGGTGTGACAAGATGTGCTTTCCGCAATTCATGTCAATGAACTTTCTCAACTTTTTGATAACTTGTCACAGATTATTTCTGATTGCAAAAGTTAAAGGAAATTATCTTCATTTGACTTTAAAAACACGGTATATGTTTTGCTTTCTCTAGTTTAACTTTCTTGTCCTCCATGAATTCTTAGACATAATTACTAATAGTCTATAAATTTACTTACCTTAGTCATTGAGCATACATGAACATCAGAAAATTCTGCAAACTTGTATCTAAGTATGCTTTAACCAGTTTTCTCCTTATTCTGATTTATACTAATTTCTCTTTGTTTGTGCTTCTTCTGAACATCTCAATGAACACTGATACAAAGAAAACACTGAATATTTCAGCCATCTCCACATTCTCATCAGGCAGTAAACCTGTTTTTCTTCTTCATGTTTCTTTAAACACATGAAACAGACGGATGTACCCTGCCCCAGTCCCAACAGGCAAGCCCTGAATGCAGGATATTCCCCAAACTGGGATCAGCTCTTGTTTTTAATCCTTCCTGGCAGTCTTCAGCAAAGACTACAAAGCAGGAGTGATCTACCTCTATGTCCTCCAGATGTTCTCAGCAGCTTAAGGGTGAAGCACGTTGGCAAGACAGCCTGGGAATCTTGCCTGGCTGCTGCCTGAGCTGGATTTATTCTGAAGAAACATGCTCTTTGCAGCTATGAATCTGGAAATTTTATACACATTGAATTTGCATTGTGTTTCCTTCTTCCTGAAGAATATGACCACTGCTGAATTTCCATGCTATTTGGGATAAATACCTACACAAACCCCACTGGTTCTCCTCCTTACCCAATGCCACTTGGTAAGCAGAATGGTCCTCTA